TCCAATTCCATATCCTCAGAAGCTTATAAAGAAGAAGCTCGATGCCGATTATCAAAGGTTTTTGGACAAGCTGAAGGAAATCCAAGTAAATATTCCGTTTATTGAAGCCCTTCAAAAGATGCCAAAGTGGGTGAAGTTCCTCAAAGATCTCGTGACGAAGAGGAAGAAATTGCAAGCGAACGAGATGATCCAACTCACGGAGCAATGTAGTGCAATTCTTACACGGCCCCTTCCACAATAACTCGGCGATCCAGGTAAGTTCACTATCCCTTGTACTATAGGAGGTAAAAAATTTAGATCGCTTATTGATTTAGGTGCTAGCATTAATCTTATGCCTTATTCTACTTATCAAAATCTTGGGGTAGGTGAGATTGAACCTACGGCTATAACTCTTCAATTAGCCGATAGGTCTTTAGTTTACCCAAAAGGTATTTTAGAGAATGTGCTAGTAAAGGTGAACAAATATATCTTCCCGGTTGATTTTGTTGTACTCGATATAGATGAAGATAGGGAGATACCTCTTATTTTAGGGAGACCGTTTTTAGCCACTTCAAAAACTCTAATTGATTGTGCGAGTGGTGATCTTACAATGACAGTGCATGATGAAACGATCAAATTTAATGTTTTTTGTGCTAATAAAAATTCATGTGATAATAATGAGTGTTTTACTATTGATCTTATGGATTTTACAAATCATGAAAAATTTGATGTTTCAATTTTGGACCATGGGAAAGCATCGTTGAGTGCAGGAGATGACGGCGGAAAAGGGAATCAGAAGGAGCACGCGTATTGTGCGGACTCAATTTCAACGCCTCCGAAAGATAGTCAAAAGAGTTGGGGTGCTAACGGTGATAAACGTGCAAGGAGGATGTGGCCACCTAAAAAATCAAACGAGCATCATCGGGGAGAGGAATTCAATTGCCAAGTGACTTCGGTCACGTTAGCTTGAACAAAGAAGCAGACAAAGTCCGGCTGAAGACTGTAAACTTATCGCTTCTCGGGAGGCAACCCGAGCTTTCGTTTTTCTTATTTTATGTTATTTTAAATTTTTTTTTTTGTTTTTATTTTATTTCTCTAAAAAAAAAAAAAAAAAAAAAAGTTTCAGGGGCACTAATAAGTTTTTATTTTTCAGGGACCTAATTGAAATTATTCACACGGCCGTGCAAGAAAAAGGCAGGAATCTCACACGGCCGTGTGAGATTTCGGTGATGCTACTGCCCAAAATTGGAAAAGGGCACGGCCGTGCGGATTTTACACCTAAATATCGCACGGCCGTGCGAAATTTGAAGAGGCTACTGGCCAATTATGAGAAAGGGCACGGCCGTGCGGATTTTTCACCTAAATCTCGCACGGCCGTGCGAATCAAAAAAAAAAAAAAAAAAAAAAAAACAATTTCTTTAATTTCAAATCCTCTCTCTCCCCCACTTCGATCCTTTTTCGAAATTTTCCCTTTTCTTTGATAAATTTCACCAAAAATTTACCAACTACACACATATAATACGTAATCAATGTGGTTTGTTGTTGATTTGCGCAGGGAGGATTCAAGAAAGGTGCAATTTTCTCTAAAAACCCATTCCACCAAGAACGCCCACAAGGTGTTCGACGATTTTCCCGCACCGATTCTTGAGCCGGTACCCGAGTTATTGGAGGATGACGAGGAGGATGATGCTCATGCACATGGTGGAGTTGGTGAGCAACCCAACGATGGTCCCGACGCTTAAACAGGTGTTTTCTATCCTTAAACTTCGGGCGAATCACATTGAGGGCAATGTGAATTTTAAGTTTGGGGGTGGTTAACTACTTGTTTTATTTTATGTGCGCTTTATTTGTGTTTTAATGTTTTTTTAGTTTGCATGCTTTATTTGCGTTTTGTTATTTCCGTTTTTTTTTTTGCTTTGAAATAAAAAAAAAAAAAAATTTGTTCGATGCATCGATGAACTATGATGATGGGAGATGGTCAATGTTTGATGATGATATTACTTGTTTTATGTCGATAAGGATCAGATATTTGTCTAGCTTTCGATTCAACGGAACGTAGAAGTGAATTATTGCTAGGAATCACACCTTGTGCATTGCTTTGGTTGAATGTTTTGTACTTTAAATTTGGAATTTATTTGTGCTAAATCATGCTTTGTTCGGTTTTAAATCTCACCTTAGGACATTTATGATACAAAGTATTGGGTAATAGGTAATTTGGGATATGATTTGGGCCTTCTTTGAACCGTTTGAGCCTTTCAAGCCTACCTTTTTATCGAATTTATCCTTAGAACCTTGATTTGAGCCTCGGAGAAAAGGTGTTCTTTCTTTTAGCCAATATGTAGAAGGTAGAAAAGTGGAGATTTTTGAATAATTACCCCGTGGAGTTCGGTCGAAAATTCTTATAAGGTCTCCTTCTTCTTCTTCTTCGGAAAAAAAAAAGAAAAAAAAAAAGAAAAAAGAAAAAGAAAAGAAATATATATGTGCAATTCTATACATATATATCTAAATTCTTCGATTAAAAAAAAAAAAAAGAAAAGAAAAGAGAAGAAGAAGAGACTAGAAGAGAGAAATAAGGACTAGTTGTTGAATTGTTTTGAAAGCTCGATCCATTCTCTTAAGAGCAAAAGTGGAGACTTTTGAACTCTTAAGAATCGAGTTTATTAAAGTCCTTAAAGGTGAAGTCATTGTTTCAAACGCCGTTCTTTCAAAATTTTGGCGTAATCACCTCAATTCAAGAAATTAGCCAGACATACCCATATTATCTACCTCGGACCAAAGAGCCTAACAATTGAAAGCCACAAAGTCCCAATGATCCCAATAGCTTAATGTCAATATTAGTTGAGTAGAATAATTTGGTGAGTATTTGGAGTCAAATATATGTATGTAAGTATAAATTATTTCTATCTTTAATTTGCAAATATTGGATACTTGAAGCAATTGTATGATTTGCGGTTTTTGGTGATAGTGAGTGACTAAGTGCCATTGAATGTTGAGCTTGCGAATACCTAGGAATTATCATCATAATTGCAAGTTCTGAAAACACGAAGTTGACCAATCGATCTATGTAATGAGATGTATAGTCGTGTTTTGTGCTCTTAAATTGATTTTACTTGAGGACAAGCAACAGTTCAAGTTTGGGGGTGTGTTAAGTGTATATTTATACACTTAATTGTACCTTTTAATTGGGGCTTTTGGTGTGTTTTAACGATAATTGGTGCTTAAAATGGTTATTATTTGTATTTTAGGTGCAAATTGAAGAATTGGCAACTTATGGGGTGAAAACTGCAAATTCGGAGAAAAAGTGGGTCAAAAGTAGAAAAATCAAAAATCTGCATAATTGAGGACCGGACGGTCGTCCGGATTTAAGAAGGAATTCTCGCATGGCCGTCCGGATTGGCGAGGTGGCGCAGTGAAGGAAGTTTAATTACACAAGGAAACCCGCCCTATTATATTTTTGCACCCTATTTAAAGGCCAAAAGCACACAATTAGATTATCTATCTTTTAATCTTTATCTTTCTACACGCGAGCAAGAGAACGAAGACGAAGACTTGACGAATCTTCATCCTAGTTTTCCTTTTATTTTTATTTCTCGACTTTTATGAATTTTCATATTTTTATTATGCTTTTCGTTAAGAACATGAGTAGCTAAGTTTTTATTCTAGGATTTTATTGGAACCCTATGTGGTAATTCGAACCTCTTTTTCTACTTTTATGCAAGTTTAATTCTTCGATTATTTCTTCTATCTTGATCTTATTTAGCGCATGAACGTAGCTAATTTATGTTGCTATTAGTTATTGTTAGAATTGATTGACAGATCGTTTTAATAATTAGAACATGGATAGAAGAGCCTTCGAGTAGTTTTTCACCGAATGTGTGTGTTGATTGCATGTATTATCGTAGACATACAGATAATACCTTAGGTAGCCGTTTACGAGACTTGTTATTTAATGCTTTATTTATACTAGGTTTGCATAGACATATAGTGAATCTTTTATGAATAATAGGCTTATAATACAGCGACAGCTGGTTATGAGTAATTTCGTGTCTTGGGTTAATAATCGGGAATCATAACTTGCATGATAGGAGATTAATTGGGTGAAGAATTACCGCATAGAGGGAAGATAAAATCCTAGATCCGTTTTATATTGATATTCTCTCGTGTTTAATTGCTTTCTTAATTAGTTTAATTTATTTAGTTAATTAATTTGACAACCCTGCGTAGGCTGGATAAAAATCATAATGGTTAAGATTTGGTATTTAGGATTAAATAATTTGCGTATTCCCTGTGGGATCGACATCCGACTCTCACGAGTCTACTTTACTACTTGTTTGCGATACGTGCACTTGCGTGTGGGTATTTAGCACCCAACAATACTAAATTAGACAAGTCCCATAATTCAAATTTCCAGAAAAAACAAAACAAAAAAACCCCAAATATCACATGAAAACAACGCACAAACAAACAAACCAAAACCTAAATTGAAATAAAAGGTGGTGGAGAGAGAAAAAGGCGGCGTACTCCAAGAATGGTTGGAGGGAGTGAGAGCGAGAGTTGCGGAGAAGGTGAAGTAGTTCGGAAACAAAGGAATGGTATTTCTTGGAGTTTTGGAGGAGGTCCTTGTCGGCCTTCAGCTTCTTCTCCACCGCCGTCGCCGGATACTTTTCCGCAATGGTGGTTCTTTTTTTTGGTGAGAGAGAGTTGGAGAATGGGAGAGATGAAAAGAGAGATGTAAAGCGACTGTGGGTGTGAGTGGAAGAGAGAGGTTAATGGGTTATGGCAACTAAAAGGACAAAATATGTACTTTAAGTTGGTAGGGAGATCTCACAAATTAAGATCGGAATTTGGGTTTTTGACTAGGGCGAAAAAACTCATAAGACCTCCACGTATATATTTTCAAAACTAGGGTGTATTACAAATTTACCCCTATATTATATATGATATACCTCAGAATCTTTAAGATCATTTGGTAAAAAAAAAAAAAAAAAAAACATTTATTTATAGATATAAATGACATGTCATAATATTATGATTATCGAGGGTTAATATAATTTTGTGAACAAAAACAAAATGTTGGTAGTTCAAACATACTATAAGAGAATATTTGTAATTTGCACCAACAAATACACATTACATTTGACATAATATGTGCATTATAATTCGGTCACAACTAATTTCAAAGGATATAACAGTGAACACTGTTTTAAAAAACCTGTTTTCCAGACTTACTAAATGTACGTACGTACCCCTTCACTTAAACGATGCAAAAAAGCTAATGGTGTCTTTGAGAGCCAGAATGAAATCATCGACATCATCTTTGGTGTTATAGAAATAAAGACTTGCCCGCGCACTTGCATTCACTCCCAAGTGGCGATGAAGGGGCTGAGCGCAATGATGACCCGATCTAATCGCAACACTATGCTGAAAAAAATAATTATTATTATAAGGTGAAAAGTGTCACCAAGTCTGTAATTAAAAATATCCAAATATGGTTAAGCAAAATTGACGGAGAAATAAAATACCTGTTGGTCAAGAAAAGTAGCAATATCTGTTGGATGAATGTCGTCCACGTTGAAAGAGCAGAGTGCTGCTCTTTCCACGGTTCTCGAAGGAGCTGGCCCATACACACGCACATTGGGTACTGAGCACAATTGATCATATAAATAGTTCGCTAGCTCCACCTGCAAAAAAAAAAGAAAAAAGAAAACGGAACGGCTTAGGTGGACTGATAATCCCGTTATACCAGAAAGACTAATACAATTTTTGGCCGCAATTAATGATACCACCATGTGTGTTAAAATAAGAAGGCTTTCTGCAATTTTCAAGTTCTATTTGGAAGTTGTGGTACTGGATGTAATCATTAAAACCACTCAAACGGGAGTTGATATCAAAGGAATCAAGTATATATACACAGAGAGAGAGGGAGAGAGAGAGAGAGAGCGACAGAGAGAGAGAGAGAGAGCGA